ATGTGCAGTAGCCTATTTTACTGTGCATTAGCATATTTGTATGTTTTTTTACGTGACGCTTTAACACATGGTAAAATAGGCTACTGCACATTAAAGTGCACACGTAGATGTGCCCTGTGACTCTCAACCAGGCTGCCTTGAGATCCTTTCACGGGTGCTGTGGGGTGTCAGGGAATGTTAGTCCCCTTAGGTGCGCAAGCAGGATTCACAAGGTAAATCCAGAGATTTTGAATAGGAATCCATAATGTCACAAACTTGCTGACCGCTGTGGTCTTTCTGAGTCCTTTGTAACAAAAGAATTGATCCGTTATTTTTCTGTCGTCAAAAACTGAGTGAAAACTAAGACCTGGCATTTTCCAAGGGTTGCTTCCAGTCTAAGAGGTTGAGAACCACTTATGTAGGGAATAGGTCACAAAGTGGGGCTGGGTTGTTAAGCATACTGTATGTTTACCTGCTACGCATGTGAGTGGAGTACGCAGTATACACCTTCCTTAAAAAAATAATAATAAAAACGCTTATACCTCCACTGGCTGCAGACAAAACCTTCCAAACATTAAGCTCTGGTCCCACAGTCTACAGCCAGCTTGCCGTAATGCCTTTGTTGCTGCTCAGAGCTATCCCAAGTTGCTGTAGCACAATCACCCTCGATAGACTCAGGGCACCTTTTGATAGATTTGAGCCACCGCTCAAAATACGCCAGTTTTCACTTGGTTTTTGACTAGAGAAGAATAATGGAGTAATTCTTCTGTTGCAAAGAACTCGGAGCACAACAGGTCAGAATGCTCTTAACACTAGGGGTTCCCATGTGGAAGATCTGGCTTTATCTTTTGAATCATGCTCGTACACCTAACAGTGCTAACATTGTGTGGCACCCCACAGTACCCTTGAAAGGATCACAAGGCACCCTGGTTGAGAACCACCGCTGTCACATGAGAAAAGACGAGGATCTTTGCACCGTAGCAGAAAGGGAAGGAAAGACAATCTGTTGGGAATGTTGGAGCAGCTGTAGAGGCAGGCACTAGTAGTTCTCCCAGGAGAAGGGTCGAACCTTCTCTCTGGGGATATGGGATAGAGCCCTGGCCCAGGGCTTGGGACACTTGGACTCCATTCCCAGCTCTGACACTGGCCTGCTGGGTGACACTGAGCAAGTCATTTGACCTTCGTCTGTCTCATTTCCTCCACTTATAAAATGGGGGTGATGAGGATAACCTCCTTAGTAAACCTTTGGTACCTCTACTGGTGCAAAGAGCTGGTGTATTCAGACTCTTTGCATTTCAGTGAGCCAGGCTGCCTGCCTGTGAGCCTACGGGTTAAGTTTAAAAGGACTTTATTGGTATATATGAAGCTTCTTAAAGGGCTCCTGTGAAGAACTGGTGCTTTTCCTCCAGCCTCACTTCTGCAGTTGACCTGTTCTGTTTGTGACCTGATCATCACCTTCTGTTTGCATACTCTGGAGTGCTGGATTTTTGCCCATCTTTCTTCTGCTTGGTGAATCCTCCTCCACAAATGAATTGCCTCCAAGTTGCTCGCAGTAGTTATTATCTACTGCCCTTCTGTTTTCTGCATATTTACGAACACTGACTACAATACAAGCAAATATTGCTTAATCAGTTCACAACAGCAACAGGACTCCAGATGCATTTTGGATTAATTATTGAGCATATTATGTAAACTCAGTTGTTACATAGAAGGGATTGGTCTTCTGTCTCTGGCCAGGAGGTTGGAACTGTTTCATCTAAAAGCAGTCCCTACTGCTGTGATTCTTTGCACTGCTCTTATTAGAAAGTGACAACACGCCTAATACATGGTCAGACCGCTGAAGTTGGTGCATAATACAGCAGCTTGCTTCTTAGGTAAAGCATCCCGATGTGACCCCAGTACTTACTGGGAATTGGTTTCTGGATGCAATATAAGTAAAAAACTGAACACTTTCTGTGGTCCGGAATGGTCTGGGACCTGCCAATCTGAGGCAAAGGCTGCTGTGTTGGCTGAAATGGCGATGGCCAAGCTGGAGGCCCCTTGCTGTTGCCTCAAAATATATATCAGGACAAGGTAGTTTCTGAGAGCAGCCTTTTGCTCTGCACTCAGCTGCTGCTCAGCTCCCATGTGAAATTGTCCAAATCTGTTGACTTTCAAGGTGTGCTGTGCAGTCAGTCATGCTTTCTAGACCCTTTGGTCCAATGCATGCTCAGAGACAGCCAGGATATTGTTCAGGGGTATCTTCCATGGCCATTTATTTTCTGTTTTGTGGGATGCTGCCTATTTTATTCTTTGTCCTGGGATGACCTTATTTTTAACACAATAAAAAGGTGTGTGTCTTGGTGCTTTTTCAGGTATAGAATAAATCCAGTATTCCAAGGCTTGTCCACGATGTATCAACAGAAACGTTTTCAGATCTCTTTAGCGTACGGAAATGGGCATACAGGGACTGCCTTTTATTTTATACTATAAGAAAATGATTGTTGTTTCATTGCGATGGGTCAGAACTGGCCAGTTTATGTGGGGTTGTGTTCTGTGGAGACTGCAAAGGATATGAGGACCTGAACAGCCAAATCATCAACTGCAAATTGCTTTTTTGCACAGTTGTAACTGCTATAAATTGATTTTTTTTAAAACAAATGTTATTTGGGGGAATTCTTCAGTGAAGCAATGAGGTAAGTATACCGGTTTCAGATACTTGGATAACATTTTGAAAGGGTTTTATGTTCCAAGTGTATGAATCTTATTGATTCCAGTGAAAATTACAGTGCTATAATTTTATATTGCAAGATATATTGAAACATTGGAGTAGGCATATTGAGCTGCCCAGTTTTCCTCTCGCTTAGTAAATCACTTTAATGGAGCTGCTGGCTGTCTCACGAACAAGGACCACCTAATACTGTTTTTTTACACCAGTGATGACACTTCTACTAGACGGTATTTGGAAGGCTGGGACAGCAGGTACGCTGCTTCCAACTTCACAGCATTGAAAGCTGCTAAAATTACCAGGAAAGTAACTTTTCACTTGCAGACCTTCAGTCCTCTTTCGCAAAACGCGTTGGTGTACCTCAGTGGACATCCTGGAGACAGCGAACTGACCTCTTAGAAAATCAAGTTTAATGACATGACTGAAGAAACTTTGAGAAAGTGTTTGCTATGATGGTTGTACTGGTATGTCACAGAACTGATCCTTGCCTGTGACAGAAAACTGGAGAATGTGTTCATTTTTACCCTTTTCATTTTTTCTTCCCCAGTGGGTGGAGAACAAATAAGTTCCATTGGACGGGGGATCTGTGTGTTGCTGGGTATTTCTTTGGAGGACACTCAGAGAGAGCTGGAACACATGTAAGTTATGATGTACATATAGTGGTCCTTTCTGTTCAGTGGTCTTTGTCTGTATGTTGTTACCTTTGATGCAGTAGTATATGAACTGTATTTTTAAAGGGTTCTTTCCATAGGGAAATGCAAGCCTTTCCATGTAGATTCCTTTTTAGATTTTTGCTTTGGATGTGGACCTTCTAGTTATAGTTTTTTATTTCTTTTTATGCAGCCCTGCAGAACTCCCTGTTTTAACTCTTCTTTTCCCAGAAGAACCACCAAACCTTTGGGTGTTTTGGGGGTGTTCCTGTTGTAACATCTACTCTGTGTCACTTCTGGGAATTCATATTAATAACATCATGTGTTTGAGAGACGTTTGATGCGAGAGAACTTATGCTCTCATATCAATCTGTACATAAAACATTTAGCTCTTCCGGAAAGTTTATAGGGAAGTGATAAGACCGTTTGGGCTCTTGTTAATATATGGAACAGGAGTGTCAAGCATACAGTCCTATGGCTGTGGAGGTGGGTCATCCGATCTGCAGGGCTTTCTGTGGGCTGGATGACCTGTCTGTGCATCTGGTCCCTGGGGCTTGTTGCTGTGGCTGCCAGAGCCGCTGTGTTGGCCTGGGCCAGCTCCCGGTGGGTTTATGCTGCTGCTTGCCTCCTCGTGCCCCCACTTACCCATCGCCAAACTACTGTTTTTCAGTTTCCATTGGCAATGAGAAAAAGGTGGATGAGTGGGAGAGGCTTTAACGCCCTGTGTCCTGGCCTCATCAATACAGAAGTGCCAGCTGCTATAGCAAGAAGCCCAGTGGGCTGGATCTGGAGGTGGGTCACCTGAACAGATGACCCACCCCCTGGTTGTGGCCCACCCTGTGGTTGCTGGCAGGACTTACGGCTCACCAACTCATTTAAGTCCTATACCGGGGGTGTCAGACATTTGCAGGAAAAGAGGAATGCTGGTGTTACAGGCTACTGGAGATAGAGGAGTCTGGTTTGTGGGTGAAATCAGCTTTCATTGGATGCTGGAAAAGGATTAGTGAGTAGAGTTGTGAATAAAGGCGCATGTCCTATTGGCTACCAGATCTCCTAGACAATGGACAGTGTAGCTGTTTTACGTATGCTCCGGCAGTGGGGGAGGCCTTAATTAGACTGACTCCGAGAGCCAGTCTAATTAAAGTGCCGCAGCGTCCTATGTATCAGACTCCCTGTGGTTCAAAATGGTGGTGGGGTGCTTTAACTAAAGCTCATTGAATGAGTTCTAGTTAAAGCACCCCTGCCATTTTGAAGCGTGGGAATGCTAATACACAAGACGTGGAGGCTGGCTGGAGTGTGCTAATTAACACACTCCAGCAGATTTGATTGAGTCTGCTCTGACACGCTGTAATTATGGCACGTCGGAGCAGCCTCTTGGCACAGCTACAGGCACCCACGGTTTTGTGCAACGCTGGATTAGCCTCTCTTGTGTTTCCTGTGTACTCAGCATATTAACTTACTGGGTCACTATCACATTCTTGCTTTACTACTCTTGCTCCTTGCCTTCTGGCTGCCACTGTCTGTGTTAGCATTCTTGCTTCTTGCCTTCGAATGAAACATTCTCTCTGAAACCTGCAAGTGAGGCAGCTTCAGTGCCAATATCAATGTCTAAGTGGAACGGGGATGGTAATTTAAGACCCTGCTGCACATCTTCCTGCAGCACTTCAGCTCCTGCTTTGTTGCGGAACAGTTTCCATGCATCTCTGATGTACAGAAATCAGTGAGGAAAGCTATCCTGCTGTGCCATAAGTCACAAGGCAACAGCTGAAGCTTGATGATACTTAGGTTGCAGCTTTATATTATGCTAGGCATGTCACTGTTCAAGTAGCACAAAACATAAAGGGCATTTTTACACATGCTTCAGGAAGGGGGAGGGGATGGCGCTTTAGTTAGGGCAAGCACCCGAAGCGTCTCATGTATTGGCATCCCAGGGCTTCAAAATGGTGGCGGGGGTGCTTTATCTTAACCTTGTCGAACAAACTTCAAATAAAGCACTCCTTTCTCCATTTTGAAGTGCAGGGACCCTGATACACAAGATGTGGAGACTGACTGGAGCCTGGAGCAATTTAATCGAGTCTGCTCCGGGGCTCTGTAATTACAGCACGTTGGAGCAGCCTCTGCGCTCGTGTACAGGCACCCAAAATGTCATAAGGTTAAGGGGGCTTAACATAAGGACTGCAGTTCTATGTCCTGGGTGTACTCCTCACAGGAGTTGCTACTACGCAAATGATGAAGGCAAGAAAAGTTAAAGGGAGAATTAGAAGAATCCAGACTGATGTGCGGGCAGTTGTATTCTTATGGGCTAGAAATGTCCCAGGATGAGAGAGACATGCACATGGCATAATTTTTGCCTGTTTGCAAGTTAAATACAACTGCAGTGGTTTTGATAGCTGTTATCCTCTAGCCCTGGGGTTGGCAGTCTTTTAGAAAAGTAGCCACCCCTTGTGACCAGGCCACCTATCCCCTCAAGAGTGCCCCAGCTCTGCTGAGGACTGCTTTCACATGCTTGTACTCTGCTTACCAGTTGCTGTCAAATGCTCTTGCAAATGATAATGGATAGCCACAAATTTGGCAGTGCAGGTAAATGTAGGCTGTAGTTATGGGGCAAGAGAACAGCCCTCGGCATAGGAGATCAACCTGCAACAGTGAGGATCAGCCACATGTGGCAGAGGGGCATTTTCTCCAGCTTGCGCCTTGTATTTCTCTGCTGTGTATTGCTGCTCCCCATTGTTGTGAGCCAGCTCAGGCCTGCAGGCCATAAGTTTTCAACCTCTTCTCTAGCCTTTCATTTTTCCATCCAAATCCCCTGTTTTATCCAAGGTGCTTCAATGAAGATATTTATAAAAGAGCGTAAAGGTAAAATACATGTTTGGAAGGGCTGTCCTGCCAGTGGTTCCATGTAATGTCTGACAAGACTTAGTTGCTGGAGGAAGGGATGAATTAATATTTTGTAGGTAGAATAAGTGGATAGCTTTTCAGTGCCTGCATGCTATTTGCATTTGCTGACCTTGCGTACGGTAATTGGGAACTATCTGTTTCTTTCCCCTTAGGGTTCGAAAGATCTTGAACTTGCGTGTGTTTGAAGATGAAAGTGGGAAACACTGGTCTAAGAGTGTGATGGACAAGCAGTACGAGGTGTTGTGTGTCAGCCAGTTCACTCTTCAGTGTATCTTGAAAGGCAACAAGCCAGACTATCACATGGCTATGCCCTCAGAACAAGCAGAGCCATTTTACAACAACTTCCTAGAACAGCTTAGGAAAGCCTACAAGCCAGAGCTTATTAAAGGTAAGGGGGTGGGGCGGGGGGCTTGCCTGCTGAAATGGGGAGGGGGTGCTAAGGTGAGAGTTTGTGGTGGGAATCTTTGTCTTTCTTGGCTAGGGTGAGACTGAGTCCTTTCTGGAGTTTCAGCCTGTCCCTGATGTGACCAGCCAAGGTGCTTATATGAGGTTCTCTATAGCCATCACTCTTCACTGTGCCTCTCAGAATGGGGCAGTGAGAGCATCCTGCAGTGCCTGCTGTTGAGCACACCAGAAGCAGGTCTT